TGGGACTGTAGGCCTCAGTTTCCCCTTTGGCAGTTGTGCCTACCCACAGCCTCTTCTGCTAGACCCCTGGGACTTGGGAGGTGAGGGAGGGCCAAGAGCAGGGCCAGTGGAGGATATATAAGAGATGCATCTGCTGTGTGTGCATGAACTTACAGCAGGATGCAGGGAGGGGTGCTGGCATGGGCATGGAGTTGGTTTGAGCTGCAAGTGGTGAGCGGGGGAGGGGCAGTCAGGTTTGTGACTGGCTGATGCCAGGAATGTTCAGGTGACGTGGGCATGAATATGTGAGTGTGAGATCTGTGTGCACAGGAAGCTGCTTCTGGGTACATTGGGCCTGTGCCCAGCTGCACATGTGGCTGGGAGGCCTGGCCAGTCCCATGGCCCTAGGTGTGTGTCTGCGTGTCCTGGAGTTAGAGGGAGTGTGCCCAGGCCTAACCGGTACCTCCTGCCTGTCACATTCCTGGGATCCGGCCAGGCCCTCCCCTGGGGAGGGACAGGGCTGGTGGGCAGGCCTGTGCTAGGACAGATGGCTGCAGTTCCTAGAACTACTTCCTCATCCTAGCCTTTCCTGTTTCCCAGCTGGGCACCTGGGAGAGGGGAGGAGGCTTTATGGCCTTCAAGATGGGACTTCCGGTCCAGCCACAAGGAGCTGGGCCCGGGAGACAAAAGAGCAGCAGTGTGCGTCTCATGAGCGTGGCTTGTGTGCAGGTTGGGCACACCGGGCCCTGAGTGCAGAGCCAGTGAGCCTGCCCTCCCTTCCTCCCCGGCCTCTGGAATGGCAGAACCTGTCTGTCCAGCTGTATTTCCTCCCCAGCAGGGGGGTTGGGAGAGGACCTGGGTGACAGGAGCTGGGGCCTTGGGTACCTTGAGGAGAAAGGGGCAAGTGGGAAGGAGCACTTGCTCTCAGCGCCCCCGCTCTATGCCTGAACTTCCTCCACGGGGCATTTGCCATGGTCCCCAGGAGGTGCTGCTGAAATTTTTTACATGCACAACCCCACAGGGCATGGGACACCATGCCAGGGGGTAGAAGAGCTGGAGGTGGAGCCCAGCCCCTTGTTTCTCACCTGGGGAAACTCAGCCCCGGAAATGGGGAGGGACTTGGCTCCAGAACATGCAGTGGACCTGGCTGTTGTGACACAGCCCATGACCCAAGAGGTCACTGGTTCTAATCCCGGTTGGGGCTCATGCCTGGGTTGCAGGCTTGATCCCCAATTTGTATGTGTGGAGGGAGGGTGGGGCGCGTACAGGAGGCAGCCAATCAATGGTGTTTCTCATTGATGTTTCTGTCTGTTCGTCTCCCTTTTTCTCTCTCTAAAAATCAATAAAAACATTTTTTTAAAAGGAACATGCAGTGAATTTGGGGCCTGGCCAGGTACTGGGCCCAGCATCCTGTAGTAAAATGGCCGTCCATGAGGGGCAAGTGCCAGGGAAAAGAGCCACGGGCCCTGGCCTCGCCCACCAGGCTGCTTCTTGCCCTGCAGGTGATTGAGGAGTTCTACAACCAGACATGGATCCACCGCTATGGGGAGAACATCCTGCCCACCACGCTCACCACGCTCTGGTCCCTCTCCGTGGCCATCTTCTCCGTTGGGGGCATGATTGGCTCCTTCTCCGTGGGCCTTTTCGTTAACCGCTTTGGCCGGTGAGCAGCGGGGTCCTGGCCCTGCCCAAGGTGTCCCAGATGGGTGTGGGGGTTGGGGGAGATGTCCCTGCCTGTTCCAGGATATTCCCTGTGAGCCAGTCCTTGGGGAGTCTGGGGGATCCAAGGACCCACCTGGCCTGTGACCGCCCCCCCCTCAGGCGGAACTCGATGCTGATGGTCAACCTGCTGGCCTTCATGTCCGCTGTGCTTATGGGCTTCTCGAAACTGGGCAAGTCCTTTGAGATGCTGATCCTGGGCCGCTTCATCATCGGTGTCTACTGCGGCCTGACCACGGGCTTCGTGCCCATGTACGTGGGGGAGGTGTCCCCCACGGCCCTTCGAGGGGCACTGGGCACCCTGCACCAGCTGGGCATCGTTGTCGGCATCCTCATCGCCCAGGTGAGTGGGGCAGGGTCTGCTCCCTGAGCACGGCCCCTCCCCCCCTCCCCACGGCTCCAGTGGCTCATGAAAGTGTGTCCAGACAGCACCGGACTAGACTTCCCACCCCACCTTCCACAGCCCTGCCCCCTGGGACAGCCTAGCACAGGTCCCAGAGGACACGCCGCCACTCATGGTTCCCCCGGGGGCCACTGTGGCAGGGGAGCCAGTCCATCCCGGCTCACTCGGCCTTCTCCTCACCTGGGGATCCAGCCATAGGCACGGAGGCTGCTCACCTGGCCGGGCTCCGCCGTGGCTCCAGGCCTTCACATACACTACCCCCTCTCTGGGGCTTTCCTGTTCCCATGCCTGAAAGTCCCGTGGGCGAGTGGCAGCCCCCGTACCCTGTGCATTTGTCCCCTCACTGATGCCGGGAAGTAGGTCCCGCCCGCCTCCAAATGCGGGAACTGAGGTCCGAGAACTCAGAGCCTCCCATCAGCGGCCGAGCCTCAGAACCAGCGCCCTTTCCCTAAAGCAGCAGTGGACACAAGGCCGCTGGGTGCAGGGGGCTGCTTGGAGGGCCGGGGCTGGAGCGCTCACAGCCACTTCCTCCCGCCCTGCTCCCCCAGGTGTTCGGCCTGGACTCCATCATGGGCAACAAGGAGCTGTGGCCCCTGCTGCTGAGCATCATCTTCGTCCCAGCCTTGGTGCAGTGCGTCATGCTGCCCTTCTGCCCCGAGAGCCCCCGCTTCCTGCTCATCAACCTCGTCCTGCTCTGAGCCACCCCCGCCTTCCCTCCGCCCCCTCCAGTGCTGAAGAAGCTGCGCGGAATACCGGACGTGACCCAGGATTTGCAGGAGATGAAGGAGGAGGGTCGGCAGATGATGCGGGAGAAGAAGGTCACCATCCCGGAGCTGTTCCGCTCGCACCTCTACCGCCAGCCCATCCTCATCGCCGTGGTGCTGCAGCTGTCCCAGCAGCTGTCGGGCATCAACGCTGTGAGTGCCCGCACCCACCCTCCTATGGCCCCAGCCAAACCCTGTGGTCAAGTACATGCTATGGCAGAGCCTACACTTAAAATAACAAACAAGCCCCTGCCAAAGGGGCTTTCCTTCAGCACCAAACTGGGGCAGCGTCCCCTTCATCCTGTCCTCACCCTGTACCTGTGCCCATCAGGCCGGAGCCGGGAAAGGCCACAGCACCAATGACTTCTCTGTCCCCAGGTTTTCTATTATTCCACAAGCATCTTCGAGAAAGCGGGCGTGCAGCAGCCTGTGTATGCCACCATCGGCACCGGCATCGTCAACACAGCCTTCACGGTCGTGTCGGTGAGTCTGTGCCCATCGTTGCCAGGGTCCAGCTTAGAGCTTCTAGGCCTCATGACTGAATGGCAGCATTTACTGTGAGCCAGGCGTGTGTCACGTGCTCCCTACGTGCTATGACATTTCATCCTCAACTCGTCAAGCTCATTACTCATATCAAACAGCTGATGACACTGATGCTCCGAGAAAGTGATGCTTGCCCGAGGTCACAGTCAGGTTGCTCAGCTGTCCGGCTCGCCAGGGCCGGCTCTCAGCCCCTTTGCTTCTGTTGGGTTTTAGGGGCAGCTTCCCTTCCCTCACTCCCTGTGTGGCCCCCAAACCGCGTCCCCGGGAGGAGGTGATACCATCTTCCCTGGGTCTCTGCAGTGCCATGTGGCTTTCCCACTCTTGGGGCGAACCTCTGGGTGGGGGGTTCAGAAGGGCACCATGTGTGTGGGGGGGGCATTGACATTCTCTCTGCCCACAGCTGTTCGTGGTGGAACGAGCTGGCCGGCGGACGCTGCACCTCATTGGCCTGGCTGGCATGGCGGGCTGTGCCGTGCTCATGACCATCGCGCTGGCATTACTAGTGAGTTGCCACACTGTGGGGGCGAGGTGGCAGGGGTGGGTTCAGAGCTCACAGGGGCTTCTGATCCCAAAGTGCCTACCTCAGCCCCAGCCTGGCCATCGGCACCGGAGGCTGGGGTTGCTGATCTCCCTAGTTCTGCACTCTACCCACTCATATCCTACCCTGAGCTGGCTCCTCCCTGCACGGCCCTGTCTCACCACAGCACTCCGGCCTCAGACCACAGGTGTCCTCTCCCCGTGAGTTGCTTTGCCCAATGCTAACCCTTTAGTGTCTTCATCTGTCGCCTCAATTCCTGTTTAGAACAGTCCTAGAAGGGATTGCCCTCCTCACCAGAGGCGTAGAAACATGCCTGATCTCACTCAGTTCTCACAACTCAGTGCCGTTCAGTCAGTAGTCGGTCCCATCTTACAGGTGAGGAAACCTAGTCCCGGTGAGGTTAGTAATGCAGCAGATAAAGGACAAAGTCAGGCATTGACCTCAGGTCTGCTGGCCACAAGCCCTCGACCAGGAGCGGGCAACCTTTTTGTGAGCACGTGCCAAAACTAGCAAAATCTCTGACTCAAAATTCTTCTGCGTGCCAACCCTAATTTTTTGAGAACATGTTACACCTACTTGATATCTCTTAAGGTGTACGTATGTGAAGAACCTTGAAGAAATAATAAAATTCATTCGAGCGACAAAAACACAGTATATGATGATGAAAAATACATTTATTTTTTAATGTATACATGTACACTGATAGTCCGACAGAAAACTTTATGATTTTGTTTGATATTATCAGGGGGACTTTTGCTGCTGCATCACTGATGACAGGGATTTTACATCGTGTTTATATTTCGTGACCTTCAGAGATATGCACAAGCTACTACTTTCATCTGCCAGGCTACTCCTATTACAAGACTTAACAAAATTCATCACTGAGAACAAAGATTCACAATTGTAAATGGAAGATTATAAGAGAGGGTTTTGCGTGCCAGCAAAAGTTACTGGCGTGCCGTGTTTGGCATGCGTGCCAAGGGTTGCCCACCCCTGCCCTAGACTGAACCTCTGTGATAACCTGTGCAAGCATGTCACATATTCGAACATTCATTCGTCCAACCTCTGCACAAAGAAAACACCAATACACCAGTTTTACAGCTGAACCAAGACCTAGAAAGTCCTATGGTTCCTAAGAGGTCCGGCACACAGCGATGGGTGGAAGATCTGGGTTCTGAGCCAAAACCCATAACCTCTTCTGTGGCCTCCTCGTGGCGGGAATGATTACATATAGAACCACATGTCCGAGGCCTGTGCTGTGCTGGCCTTGAGCTGGGTGCCTTGCAAGGCTTTTAACACCCACTACAGAAATGTCCTTCCACATCCTCCTGCCACAAGCAGACTGGCTTGACCCAGAGCAAGACCACAGGGACCTCTTCTTAGCACTCCTGCATGCACACCCATGACCATTCCCAGAGGATAGATGAGCTCACAGCCACCAGGCAGGGTGTAAATCATTTTGTTCAGATGAGGAAACTGAGCCCCAAGGCAGAGTACTTAACTCACACTGCATATCCAGGATCAGCCCCAGGCCTCCTGCTGTCCAGCCTAGCCCGCCTCTGCAGTTTGTCTCCTGAGGCTCCAATCTAACTTTCCTCCTCTCTCTTGTCCTCAACAGGAGAAGGTGCCCCAGATGTCCTACCTGAGTATCGTGGCCATCTTTGGCTTTGTCGCCTTATTTGAAGTTGGTCCTGGCCCCATCCCGTGGTTCATTGTAGCCGAACTCTTCAGCCAGGGTCCTCGCCCGGCTGCCTTTGCTGTTGCTGGTCTCTCCAACTGGACCTCAAATTTCATTGTGGGCATGTGCTTCCAGTATGTGGAGGTGAGAACCCCCAATGTCTCTACACACCATTCCTCACCAGCTGTTCCCATTGGAACGAGACTCAGAAGCCCAGGTTACATACTAAGAACCCTGACTTCAACCCCGGGGTTCTTTCCTTGGCTTTGAATTGTCTCCATTCTGCTGTGCAATGGGAACCTGTTCCCTGGAGCCTATCTCATGCCCGCTGTCGGCAGGCAGACTCTCATTTAATCACCCCAGCACTCCCGGGTTGTAGGTGGCTGTCCCCTTTCTCAGATCAGAGGCCTAAGGAAAGTGACTTATTAAAGGTCCTACGGCTAGAATGTAGGGTCAGGACTCTAACCAAGTGTGTCTGTGTCTTTCAGCAACTGTGTGGTCCCTACGTCTTCATCATCTTCACTGTGCTCCTGGTTCTTTTCTTCATCTTCACCTACTTCAAAGTTCCTGAGACCAAAGGCAAGACCTTCGATGAGATTGCTTCCGGTTTCCGGCAGGGGGGAGCCAGCCAAAGCGACAAGACACCTGAGGAGCTGTTCCATCCCCTGGGAGCTGATTCCCAGGTGTGAGGAACCCCTAACCACCAGCCCAGCCTGTTCCCAGCAGCCCCAAGGATCTCTCAGAGCACAGGCAGCTGGACGCCACTTCCACATTGATCTCAGCAGAGCTGGGCCTGGGGCTCCTTTCTTCAGCCAGCAATGATGTCCAGAAGAATATTCAGGACTTATAACGCCTCCAGGGTTTTAACAAAAGCAAGACTGTTGCTCAGATCTATTCAGACAAGCAACAGATTTTATAATTTTTTTTATTACTGATTTTATTATTATTTTTGTATCAGCCAGAGCCTCCTGTACCCCACACTTCAGGCTCCACCCTGAAGGGCTCAGTGCCTGAGGGTGGGGACCAAGTCCTGCCTAGACACACTTGCCTTCTTCACCAAGCTAATCTGTAGGGCTGGACCTATGACCAAGGACACACTAATCGAACTATGAACTACAAGGGTCCAACCCCTAGAGGTGGCCATGGCCACGCGCTCCGCGCTCCTGTGGCCCTGAATTTCCCCACCCTAGGGGTCAGGCTCCATTAGGATTCGCCCTTTCCCTCTCTTCCTACCCAACCACTCATTAATTTTTCCTTGCCCGAGACCAGTTGGGAGCACTGGATTGGAGGGAGGAGAAGGGAAGGGCCAGACTGGACTGCCAGATTCGTGTCTCCTTTGCACTGAAGGCCAGACGATCACCATGAGAGGAGGGCCGTGGGAGACTGAGAACTCACTACTCAAGAACGCGTGGATGCTCCTGCCCTGCTGTGTGTAGATAGAAATATTTATATATTTTTTTGGTTGTCAATATTAAATACAGACACTAAGTTATAGTCTATCTGGACAAAACAACTTGTAAATACACCACCATACTTCCTCTGTAACTTACCTAAACAGATATAAATGGCTGGTTTTTAGAAACATGGTTTTGAAATACTTGTGGATTCAGGGTAGGGAGATTTGGGTGGGAGTGGGAGAGAAACAAGCAGCTGCAACTGCTACACTTGGTTTAGACTTTTTGACTATTTGAAGCACCTGTGATCAACACCCTCTATGTTCAAGAATTTGATCTTTATTACCCAGAGAAAATTTAAATATCTTGGCATTCGAGGCATCCCCATTTTCCTTCATATATGCTAGTTAGTATGCAAAAAAAAAAAATAATGATAGCAATATGCGAATCTTGATGTTTGGGCCTTGATATGCATTATCTTAAATGTGAGGTAGGTATATATCAACATTTGACAGGCTCAAAGAGGTTATACGCCTGAAGTCTCAGGGCAAATATGCTAAACACCCTGCTTTTAACAAACTGTACAACCCCTACCTCATACACCCACACACACACACACACACAAATTGAATCATGTTCACTGCATGGCCAGTGAGCTGTTAAGCTGCCTTCTCCCATCAATTTCATTTGGAAATGCCCCCTCTGGTTCCAGTTTATATCCTTTCTAAAGACTTGATTCCCCCCAACACACACACATACCCCTGCCAATTTCCAGAGCATTTCTTCTGTTCCTTTCCTATGGCCCTATCCCCTTCCACCCTTATCACAAATCCTCATTTTTCCCACTAGTTTCAAGTTAATGGGAAGTCTATTTGGTTCATCTGGATCTACAGATGCAGGGCTTGGCACGCAGCAGGCACTCAAATAATTGATGAAATAAAGCACCAAGGAAATGTGTCCCTAGAGCAGCGGTTCTCAACCTGTGGGTCGCGACCCCTTTTGGAGTCGAACGACCCTTTCACAGGGGTCGCCTAAGACAATCAGAAAACATATAATTACATTGTTTTTGTGATTAACCACTATGCTTTATGTTCAATTTGTAACAATGAAAAATAATCTGCATATCAGATAGTTACATGACGATTCATAACCGTAGAAAATTACAGTTATGAAATAGCAACAAAAATAATTTTATGGTTGGGGGTCACCACAACATGAGCTGTATTAAAGGGTCGCGGCATTAGGAAGGTTGAGAACCACTGCCCTAGAGGCTCAGCTGACAATCTGGGAGGAATTTCCTGTTGAAGCCTTCACAGCTGCACACAGGCAAAACTATACCATCTTGGCATGAAGCGGGGTTATGAGGGAGCGTGAAGAAGGGAAAGCAGGTACGGAGTGATTGGAAGTGCCTATGGGTGTGTGTTATCCGGTAAAGATAACCTGAGGAATTGGGTAGGACGGGGAGGCCCCATCACTTGCCCTCTCCCACCCACGCCCGCTGCAAGGAGTTGTCTCTGACCTTCACTGGGCGGCCCCCAGAGGGCGATGCAGAGAGGAGTCAGGGGCGCTATCGAGTCTTAAAACCCTAGGGCTGCACCCTGGCGGCTGTTGGCAAAGCATGGACGAGCACGTGGGGTGGGAGGGGCGCGCTAGCGGCCGGAGCTAAGGATG